CTATGATATGTACGAATCAATAGTCATGTTGAGAGAAAATAGTTTAGAAGTATCTTGAGCACCCTGATGGGGCGTGCGTCTAAAAAGTTGGTGATTTGGCGAGACTTGTGTCGTGTTAGGGAATTTTTGCTTGACAACTACCAATAGATATCCTTATCAGGGTCAAAGTGACCCGACTATCTCTTCTGAAGGAGTTACATCACACACGATAGATGAGGAATTGGGCAAGGAAGCGCCAATTTTTTACGAAAAGGGTGAACATTTCAAAACATTATACCTTTTAAAGCATAGAAACAACATTGTACTGATAGTACTTAAAAAAACTATAAAACATCAATTTATTTAAATACGGGTCAATTTGCCGCGACTTATGACTTTGCGTACATAGAAATGCTTGGGCATCTAAGGGTTAAATATTTCCTCTTTTCAACTTCAATCACGCCCCATTCCTGAGTATAAAGTCAAACTCAATGATAGCTGTCGTATTTCCTGTAAAAATTAATGAAATTCGATCCGAAAAATTTGTATATTAAAGATCAATTGACTAAATTCATTGCTGACCGAGAATGGATCTCGAACGTCCATAGGAATGGAGACTTGCGTCCACTGTGGTGGCTTTTTGTCACTAGTTTTACGTGGAGATTTGATGGACAAAATTTCAAACGATGATTTTCCATTCTTGGGATATAAAGGTGACAGCAGCTTTATCTGATTCACCTGAAAAAGAAAAACAATATTTATACTTTAAGGAACGTGTAGGGTAGAGCATTTTGCGTGTTATTATTATATTATTAAGATAAAATGACAAGGATGGACCCGTGCGGACCGAAATGTATATTTACCAAACAATAATACAAAATCAACACGCGTGTATAAGGCAAGACTTTCCATCGTACTTTAATCTTTGAAGAAACAATTGAGCTTCGCAGTTTATTATTATTAAATATTCCGCAATTATTGCTGACCTGGTTAACCTGTGGTTAACTTATCTGACCCTAGGTCAATGATTATTGGTAGTTATTGATAATTATTATTAGTGTTGGGTTCGAATTTTGGTAGTGACGATCAATTTTCATGAAATTGACGTCGAGTTTGATGAGAAATATTCCTCTCAGCCGTAGTCCCTGAACTTTTTGAGGGCCTAAAGCTCGGATGTGTCAATATCCTCTGGCACCTATTGTAGGTTCCTGACGAAATTTGAACCAAGAAAAAGCAGCCAAGAAATGGCGATTTGTAATGATGATTTTTTGCATTTTATCGATGATGACTGCTTATTGTTTGAATTGCCAGAGGCCCTCCTTCGATAAAATTTGTTATACATGTTTGAAATGAGACCTCGCTAGGGACGCCAATTCATTTATCTCCGTGATACATGATATGGCAACAAATACCTGAGTAATGAAAACCTCAAAATTTAAATATTGATACCACCAATTAAAGAAAAATTTCACCAAAGTCTTAACACAAAACACAGTTAAAAAAAGTGCAGTTCAAAAAATAAATGGAAAAATGAAAGGAATAGTGATTTAAGGTTTTAATTTACAATTTGGGGAGCTGAGTATAGGCGGACGTGAGTGCAATTTCACTCTCTCTCTCTCTAAGTACCAATAAAATTTACTCTCCTATTTTTTCCCTTATTTATGCTTTTCAATTCTTCAATTCTGTTTCCATATTCCACCAGAACTTGAGCTAATTTTTCAACGGTTCAAGTTTTCTGTCTCTCATTCTACCCTTAAAAGTGTTTTATAAATCTTTTCGTATTAGTCAAGCTCAAAGGTAATAAGACTTTATTTAATCTGAAAATTTATCTGTTTAAATTTGTCTTATACTTAAAAAAGAGAGAAGAAGATCAAATTTGATAAAAATTCCCTTCGAGGAAAATTCAGCTTCGTGAATTCAGGTCCCTGTTCTCAGTGACTATCATATTCAGAGCCAAAAACATTTGGTTACTGACTTTAAGTGTATGCACTCCTCTTCCGTTAGTCTGGAACATGTACTTTAAACGAACACATCCTTGCAGGTCACGATTGTTGGCGAGAGGGCTCCTCCCATAGAAACCGACACTCCATACGGATTCTTTAATCGTTGTCTTTCTGTTAGAGTTAATGGACCAAATCAGGTTCCCCTTAGGAGGCTCTGAAAGTCAACAGTACAATGGAGAATGGAGATGTTGCATGTGTGAGTGATTTGCGATTTGACCATTGATTCCTATGTAAAAGTTTGCGAGAAACACGATGGTGCCACTGGTTTTCTAAGAAATCATCTCCCAAGCTCAAAAAAAGCTCTCAAAGTGAGGCCAAAAGGGAGGGGATATCCCACGCTATCCTGAGAGTCCACCTCTACATCAAGACAAACTCTACATGTAAAGATAGGGAGCAAATACATTAGCAGGGTTGCCTTGTTTTCAGGTCTGGAGTCCCCAAATAAAGTGGCAACCCTGCTAATGTATTTGCTCCCTATCTTTGCAGGGAGAGTTTGTCTTGATGTAGAGGTGGACTCTCAGGGTAGCGTGGGATATCCCCTCCATTTTGACCTCACTTTGAGAGCATTTTTTAAGCTTGTGAGATGATTTCAGAGAAAACTAGTGGCACCATCGTGTTTCTCAGGAACTTTAACATGCGAATCAATCGTCAAATCGCAAATCCCTCACACATGCAACATCTAGTGATATGAGTAATGAAAGGGTCTAAAACTAAAAGAGCTCACAGACTTGATTTATTGCACTCAAGTAATGGAGGCAATCTTGTTATTTTTGACAGTTAAAAACGTGCAAAAATCATTCTAAATAAGCGGAAAATTGAAAGCGTTCCGGTTCCGTTAGTGGTAACAAGGCCCGTGTGCAATTGGACTACATTTTGAAATTTTAAAAACTACATTATCTAGCCCATCCGTGAAAGCACTCATGTGCATGAGGAAACTAATGTTACATACGTATTCACTAAACTGAGCCAGATATTATGATTCCAATTTGCAAAATTTAGTCCATTTATTATCGTAACATCCTCACTGCATGCACATTTGCAAGCATTTGAATTGAAGGAGCTCTAGCTCACTAGAGTCCGCAAAGGTTCGTGATACGAATTACAAAGGGCCACAGTGTTAATGAAGAATTGAAAATAATAACGTTGGGCCATGTGACACTCTTATTCGAGATACAGAAAAAAGTTGTTTTACAACAATAATTTCCGGATAAAAAAAACATGCCGTAATGTTGAATGAGCACAATGCGACGAAGTTTTCAGTGAACACTCGTTTGTGTTAGTGTGTGAGACTTAAAGGCACAGTCTGCAGTGTTTTTTTTTTTGGCCTTTTAAGCGATTTGGATAGTTGCACTAAAGATCTAGGTCCAAATATCATTGGTAACAATCGACCGTAAGTTGCGAAAACTTTACCCATAAATTCAAATAAAAATAGGGGAAATTAAATTCTAAAACAAGATGAAGTAAGATCCGTAGTTATGGATCGTATTTGATACATCGAAAAGGTAGAATTGTATCGATATCGATTGGTTCAACATGTAAACGTAGCTTCAAAAGTCCATTGAGTTATTTATGGAAACTGATTTTTTCGATAGATTTTTGATTCTCATGAGTACCACATGGCAACAAAAAGTTAAACTGTCAGGAATTTACTCTTTATCAGCTTATCTAAATAAAACTCTATAATTTTGTTTTTGGTTATGTCCAATTGTTTGAAACCAAACTCTACATCGAGCCACTATCGAATAAGACCCATTAAATCGTGCTTGATTTACAGAAGGGTCGAGCCATTCTTAGTCCTACAACGGCTCAAACAATAAATCAGAGGCGGATCCAGCAATTTGGCAACATCGGATTACCTCCATTTAAACCTATGTTGAGTAATCGATTCTTGTCGAAGCATCTGGCACCTTCAAGAATCGATACATTTCCATAGGTTTAAATGGAGAAAAGACAATGTTGCCTAGTTGCTCGATCCGCCAATGCCATCAACAGCGCCCGAAATGACAAAATCGACATTCCTATGCACGGTCAGTCACAACTCTGCCATTAAAATCGGACCCAGCATAAAATTTTCAATAACGTAGGCTCGGATCATCAAGATTTCATAAAAGTCAAGCGTTTTTTGGCAATCTTCACTTGTGAAACACAAACCGATTGACGTTGATGATATTTTGCGACAAGACCAATCTACAGAGGTCAGTCATTCCCGAGGACGAGTTTTGGAACTCTACTGCGCAGTGACGTAGTATTGAGTGCCTGCAAAGTATTTCTTATGGGAGCACCCATTGTGACGTAGCATTGAGTGCCGCTGAGTTAGGGCCGGGCGGGGGAGTGGCTTTCAAAAAGATGCGCAATGACTGACCTGTGCGGATTGGTCTTGTTTTGCGATTAGCATTGTAATGGAATATTGGAGTTTGGATTGTAGCCGAGTGCTATAAATAATGCAAAAATGTTTTAAAAAAACACTTACATTTTATTAACAATTTTATATCGAAGCTTTTCGAAGCGAACGCTTCATCGTCAGGGTCACAAAATCAATATCACAAAGGCCATAATTTAAATTTCAAAGAAGGTAACATATTTCATTGATGGTAACAATTGATAACCCATTTCAACTGATGGTAACAATTGTTATCAATTGTTACCATCAATGAAATATGTTACCTTCTTTGAAATTTAAATTATGGCCTTAGTGATATTGATTTTGTGACCCTGACGATGAAGCGTTCGCTTCGAAAAGCTTCGGTATAAAATTGTCAATAAAATTTAAGTGTTTTTTTAATACATTTTTGCATTATTTATAGCACTCGGCTACAATCCAAACTTCAATATTTTAGTGCTACTACCTTCAGACATTGCATTACAACGTTCGCTGATTTTGGTAATGGAATACAACGATGCTGTCAGTCGAGTTCATTTTGTCTGCGGTAACAAGCACCTTTGAATCAAAAGATTCGCGCTTAAAATTCATCCAGCATAACAAGAAAAAACTAAGGGTCAACATGTTTAAACGTTATACTAACGCTGAAAAGAAATTAGTGGCTTCCACTCCCAGATTTTCTGATTTTTGCGGGAACGGAGGTCTTTGAAGTTGCAGTTATCTTTGTCAAATGAACAAACGATATCTACAGGGAAGCTCGGTTTTTGGAATGCTCCTGTGGAAGAGAAAAAAGTAAGCATAAATCGACGGTGAAATTGCCAGACCACGTATCGTATCTCGGTTTCACTAGAGTACCTGTACAGCGAGAGTATGGACAGATCGCTTCATGGAGAGCTTAGGGCCCAAAAATGCAGCCACCCTTCTAACGCACAAAATTTCACTGCCAGTCTATAAATTCCAATTCTAACGAAGATGGCTGAGAAAGTACATAAATGAGCGTTCTTTCACAAAAATGAGTAAATTTATGCAAAAACTAAGTCAAATACGTGCTTTATAAACGATGGTTCGTGACAATTGTATTAATAAATCGCTCTGGATAATTGAAATTCATAGGTTGGCTGCATTTCTGGGTCCTAACTTTATTCGCGGAGGCATCGGTGAAGGCCTGATGGATTTTCGGAGTTTCACATCTGTCTATACTCTCGCTATACAGGTACTCTAGGTTTCACGGAGAAAAATCTATGGCTTTATATACCGATTAGTTCCCCCTCCCCCCAGACGATGGTGTGCCATCTATCGGCGTTTCCGGCGGGTCTGTCTCCACAGGATCATAATTTCTCTTTCTTTTGATTTCTATTTTTCCAAAACTGAGAATGCCCACAGGACTAGTAAGATCTAAAGACCAAAAATTTGACAAATTTTTCTCATTTTATTTTTTCCCCTCCAATTCGCTCTCCTGCGAAATTTTGCTTCGTCCACTACGGTTTCAGGACATTCCGTCGACGATGTTTTGTCCAGGAGCCTGTTTTGTCCAGTAGTTTACATTCATAAGCAACAGTGCCTTGGTTCAAGCATTATATTTAAGTCCGATTTTAAATTTATATCGACAATATCGAAACGAGAAAATTGAAAGAGAAGGAGGTGTTGTTATGGTAACTCATTTTTTAAACGAAATGTTACTTTTTTCTTGTGATTCATCTTAGTAAACGTAGCAAACATTTGTAAAGCATTTTCAAGTGATGGCATTGATATTGATCTCAATGAGTCGTATGTTGAAAGGAACTGTACAAAAATTAATAAAAGAGGGGAAAAAACCAAAAAGCACGCAATCTTTGGTTTTAACCCATTTCTACGTCGATCTGTTAGAATCAAATACGTCCAATTTTGAGCGTTTGGTTGCGCTGCAGCACAGTAAAAGTACAAAATATGAAAGAAAAAATAGAAGGCTTTGGAAATCATTAAATTTGACATGGAATCACCTTAATATTTACAGAATACACAATATATTTTCCTTAAAAACATATCTTTTTTCATCAATTTAAATGAGAATAGCCCATGCAGAGTGTGCAAGCATTTCAAAATCATGAGTTGAAAAACGCTGACTTTGCGAGTGTAAATATTAAAGTCAAACAGAGCGGAGCGGCGTGCAGCCAGCGCGAGAGGCTCACTGGCGCCTACAAACCTAAAGGGATAGTTCACGCATTGCGCAATGTTTGAAGTATCTACTTAGGTTTGTAGGCACCAATGCGCGTTTCACGCTGGCCGCCCGCTCGCCGTGCCGCGGCATGGCACTTCAAGCCACTATTTCAGAACAGACGTGTTGCATAGTATCGTTCGAAATTGAAGGCGCCCCAACATATTAAGAATGACGGGCATCCTCTAAGAATACGCAGCGTTCTCCGCAAAATAAATCAAAATGCTACGGCACAAAAAGAGAGCGGTAGTCCGAAAACTCATCAAGTCCTAGCATCCGTATTTAATAAAGTTTAGCATAACTTTCTTCATTAGAGAAAAAGTGACTCGATTTAGGCAGAAAAATTCCTGAGTATGCCGTCAAGAATATTTTATTTTGAGTCTCAATAATAATTGATACGTGGACCAAAACTCCCCTGCCGAAAAAACGCGTGGACGTAAACTACTGGAAAAAACAGGTGCGCTGACAAAAAATCCTTGACAAAATGTCGGAAGATTGGAGCAGAGGCTCCGTTAGGCCACTTTTGCCAAGATGGAACGCCCTAGGTGATGAACGATATTCAATATAAAAATGATTTTAAATCTATAATAGGAAAATGTGGCAAGGAATTGATAATCAGAAATTCATTTCAGAGATAGCATTGCCTTCAGAACCTGACCGTGGAAGCTGAGCTCAAGAGTGAACTAGAGTATGTACCTATATAGAGAGAGCATGGACGACTCGATTTATGTACCTCTTAGGGCCCAAAAGAGCGACAACGTGAGGAACGAAAGTGACTAGAAAAGTGCTGCTGCCAACCTATGCATTTGAAATATTAATCAATAGGGCCGACAGCACATTGTAAGCAATCGACTTTAAAACTGAGAAAATGTATGCGAAATCAAAGGTTTAAACGTGCTTTTATAATTATTGATCAGTGTACCTGTTCTTGCATAGTTTAACCCACTACTGCATGGAATTTTTTTGCGACGCCGATTTTGATGAAAAAAATATATGTTATGGTAAAATGTAATTAAAAAGACACGTCTTTGAGCTTTTTTTGAAATTTCAATTTTTTCTTTAACTTCTGAAGCTTAAAAAAGCTCGTTGCCATACGGCAACAACACGTAGTAATTTCTTGCCAGAGTATCCACTTGTTTCCATATGGCAACAACATACAGTGCAGGAGTGGAATAGTGATGCCAGGGCATAACCCTTGTGCAGGAAAAAAAAGCTAAGAAAAAACGTTTTTTTGATTCTTCTAACATTACCAAATTCAAAAAGCGTCTAATGATGAATGATGGACCAAATCTTCGATTCGCCAAACTAGATTGCAGTTCTGTCAACCAAAAAAATTGGTTTGTTCGACTAAGGTCTCAGTACTTTGAAGTAAAATAGTCTATCCTAACGTAATAGTCTCAGTAATAGTCCTGAACTTAACAGGTCGTTTGAGCAAGGTTTCTGGCTTTGTCTTCATTCTCACCTCCGAATGGTTGAAAAATCTACGAAAACTGACCTTATTTAGCAGCTATAGGTTTATAAAATGAAATGATAATCATACTGAAGAATTATTTTACGGCATCTCCAATTATTTGGACTACATTTTGCAATTAAGAACTACAGTATTCGGCTCAGTCTGAATATATGTACAACGTATGTGCTATAGTTTTCCACTGCATATAAGTGTTTTAATGGATGAGCCAGGAATTTCAGTTCATAATTGCAAAATGGACTGCATTTTGCAATTAGGAACTATAAATTCGGGCCCGGTTTAAAAACAAAGGATGTGCTATTAGTTTCCCTATGCACATAAGTGTTTTTTCAGATGAGCCAGAATTTATAGTTCCAAATTGCAAAATGCAGTCCAAATGTCTTCCATCTCTTACCTCATGCCTCTACATTATAAAACGAATTCGGCCATGATCTCACCTCCAATAGCCAGGAGTTATAGAGCCGAAAATATCTGGTTCAGCTGCCGCAATTCGTCAAAATTCCTAAGATTTTTCAGGTGCGAAAAATTGATTATCGTATAATTTTCGGCCCATCAACCGCTGCAAATCTTTAAGTTTAAAGAGCCTCATTTTGGGACTGCGTTAACTTACCATCACACCGATAAAGGTCTTGGATTCGTTTCACGTCACCAGCGCTAAGTTTTGTGTTTAAGTTCCCAGCACCTGCTTTAAGTTTTAAATTACGTCCCGTCTTTGACTGAAGCTTTGCCGGACGAGCAGGATCCTGTAACGCGATATATTTTACAAAAATAAGGTTATAAAAAAGTACTTGAACAGTACCAAAATAAGAAAGATGAAAGGGAGTATGAGTTCGCCATACACACTTGAAATACCATGGTGTTCTATTACGATATTTGACGTTTCGATGGGTTGCTCATTAAAACTGATTAAATAGTGTCTCTAAATTCAAGTTTTTCTTCCTGTAGGTAAAACCATTTTTTGATTCTAAGAATATTTTTGCGACAGAATGTTTTTTTTTTCTTTTTTTAATTCTGATGACCTTTTTTTATTGAGGACAAATTTAATTTTCTTTGAATTTAAAAGAAAAACAATCTCACGAATGCTAGCCAAATTACATGACGTAAGACGATAATAAAGAACACTATTTCATCTTCATCCTATAAATCGCCGATTTTCATCGATAAACCTCCATCATATATCTGGTTTACGGAATGAGCCGGAGATTATAGCGTCTTATCGAAAAATATGGTCCATATTATCGGTTCGTTCCGTCGTGCATACACAAGAAAGAACCTTAATTCGTGTAATGAGGCAAGTACAATTGGTTTACTCAAACATTTAATGGACAAATCCATCACCTACGAGTAACTATCATTCCATGTTAAGCACGCCCTAGAATCCTTGGTCTTGGTGTCATTTTGCTTGACTCTGACGAAGCTATCGTAATAAATCCATGAAAGAAATTATTCGTGCTCTGAAGATATGGCTCTGGCCTCTTGAATATTGAAGACGCTATAAAGAGAAATGCTATCCATTTTATTTCATGCCATCAAACGGCATGAGAATATTATTGTGATGAATGAATATTTCTCGTGTCACTTAAGATGAAATAAAATGAATAGACTCTTCAAAAGAGAAAACGCACACAAATCACGTTGAACAAACTAAAATAAATACGAAGCACGCATGCTGATGCAAAATTTTTTTCAGGAAGCCTTCGTTTTGCACAGAAACTGCAAGACCATGTATCTCGTTTGCAGCGTTTGAACCTCTAAACGACCGATTGATTTTTTTCTACACGAAAACAAATCAGTAGCAACCCTTGGCATTTCCACGGAGTGATCTCTGCGTAGAGGAAAAAAATCACAGAAGTTTCGAAAATTGACGTTAAGTGATTTTCTATTTAAAAAATAAAGTACACGGAAAAAAACAACATAGCGCTGAGCTCTAACATTTTAAATCAAATGGAGCCAACTGAAGGTCGTAGAGCTGAGCTTTTCAGTCAGTAAAGGCTGGACCCTAAAGCTGTAAAGGGCTTGACCCTGTAGAGCTCAGCACTACTGTCTTTAGTTGGCTCCTTATGATCTAAAACGTTAAGACTCAGCGTTAAGATGTTTTTTCCGTGTATGAAAGGAAGGCTGCAACGATGCAAACCGATGTACGTGATATACTCGTAGTTTCATCGTTGAAATGCTTCAAACTACTGAAACACAAGCGAAAAGATTTTTCACCGTCCATACGAGATAGTTTGCTCATGTAGATTAGACTTCATCACGTAGTTTTCACGACGCATCATGTGCTCACGTGATTTTAGGGTATTATGACATTTAAAAGCTACATTCTGTTGCCAACAGTACCATTCATTGAAGAAATACTTGTAAATTGGCAGATGGATACATTTGAAGAGGCACTTGAATGAGCGATATACAATAAAACGGGGGAGTAAAGTAAATTCTACCATAAATAAAATAAAAAATGAGAAGAATTACCGATGAACTGCAATCATGGTACATCATTATAGAGTCAAAGTCAAAAGGCTCTCCAAATAAGTTCACGGAACTTTTGTCCAGTTGTTCAAATTGAGGCCGTTGTTCCTTTGAAATAAGTAATAAAGGAAATTAGTCAACATTCACTTTAGGCATTACATACATACATATGAGTCGCTTTTATAGCGCTCTTTGGCGCTTTACGACACCGAATCGCCACAAAGCTCGGTCTTCCCACAGGTCATCAGGGAGTTGACGCTCCCTCATCTCACTTAACACCCCCTGTCGCCAACCTCTCACTGGGCGTCCCCTACGTCTCCTCCCAGGAGGAACCCAATCAAGCATCTTTTTTGGCAGCCTCTCTTCCGTCATCCTATTGACGTGACCATCAGTGGCGTGGCGTGAATAATCGATTATCGATATCTCGCCATTTGAAACTATGGTAAAGAATCGATTACTAAGGTGTTCGCTGCGAACACCCTGATAATCGATTCTTTTTCATGGGTTTAAATGACATAACAATCGATAAATCGCAAAGCACGCCACGCCACTGGTGACCATACCAAACTTGTTGTTTGGTCATGACGTCGAACACGATGTCATTTTCGACTTTAGGCATTAACAATGGACCACTAAACAAGGTACGAATTTCAGCACTCTGATATATGATCCGTAACCAAAATTTCACGTAGAGCACGATGCGCACAATGAAAATTATCGAAATCAACTCCTCACAACGATATTTAATGATTCTTGATGCGTGAATTCAAACCACCCGCTCATGAAAACTCAATGCTCTACGTGATTCACATCGCGCGCTAAACGTTATCATGACAGTCTCTGCGCGATGTAAAAATCTGGCAACCTCAATCTTGACGCTTTGGCTCAGCTGTAGCAAATTGCCTATAGTTCGAACAACACATGGTGCGGGAAATGAATATTGCTCGATTAAGAAACTTGCTGAGACCGTTGTCGTGCGCGATTTGACTCACGTACACCTTTGAGTTTCTTGTGAGCGGGCAGTTCAAATTCCTCGTAACCAATGTGAAATGAAAAGGTTAATATCTTCGTTAGGAGTTGGTTTCAGTAATTTTCGTTGCACGAATCGTGTTCTACGTGAAATTTTGGTTAAAAAACATGTACCGGAATGCTTAAATTCGTACCTTGTCTAGTGATCCATTGTAAAAAATCAGTAAAAAAGGGACTCAATGAAAATTTTTTTTAAAAAATCGAAGAAATTCGAGTCGCAGAGTTCAGTGCAGAATTTGATAGCAATGCTGGTATCCTGAACAACATCCTGCTACCTTTAGTTACCCATCACGTCCTCATAGAGCGGTTCATCAAGGAGAGCGCCTAATTTTTAAACGCAGAGGAAGATTGATAATCTGTTGAAGAGTTCATCAGGAGTAGGTAAATGCATCATTGTCTGGACTAATAGAATGGATGGAAACGCCTCGATAAAAAAATTTACAGACCTTCAAAATGAGCAGTTTTTGTGATGTCGCGGAGCAAAGTGCCTACTTTTGAGCCTTTTATCCCTTGAATTTTGGGTTTAGTCCAAAGATCTTTTAGGAACTTAATTTAATGACCCAGGTGATGTTCTTGATGCCCGCAGTTAAAGAATGAAAGGCATTTTCCAAAATTTACAGCCCTTCGAAATGAGCTTTTCGTGTGATTTTCTAAAAATGGATCTTGGCCCCTAGCCCCCCCCCCCAATTTTAGCGTGCCCAAAAATCGTTTGACGTGCATAAGGAGACCATAGATATGGTGTTCTCTGCAAATTTTGAATGAAATCGTAATCGAAAACGTATATCATGATGCTTGAATTCGCATTTTCTCTAGATTTCCATTGTTCTATTTTATACCTAGGTATGTAGCAATTTGACTTTATATATTTAAAACGGCATAAAGGAAACCGACTAACATTGCCAGAACAAATGCCGGCATCAATGACTTTGCCAAAAACGATTGATTGATTTAGTATACATTACGTTACAAGTTTCTTACCCTTTCAATGTTCTGCCATAAAACATCTACGTAGTGATCTCTGTCTGGACGTTGGTGTTCGTGTCTCAGTCCTAAAGTATGTCCCAGCTCGTGTAGGATTACTTCTTTTACGAAATTTTGTTGGCCTATCCGTAACCACGACTGACCTCTCTTTCTCCCGACGGCTGTATTGGATGACCTTCACGAGAAAAGTGTGACCAAATGGTTCGTTTAAAATGTTGCCAAATTCCTGCTTTAACTTCTAAACGGTCAAACCCTGCTAAAAATGGCGAGTACAAATGAGTAGAAAATCAAAGTCATATGAATAGAATTTCAATTCATATGAATCGAATTTCAACTCATGTGAATAGAACTTCAACTTAAATGAATAGAATTTAACTCATACGAGCAGAATTTCTCTATTCACTTTTCGCCGACTCATATGAATAGAGATTCCAACTCATATGACTAGAGATTTCAACTCACATGAGTTCAGCGTTGAATCTACCGTGTCCAATATCTCAGAAACTAGTCACCGCATCAAAAAAATTACTACAACAAAATGTTCTTATTTTTCAAAGTTACACGTAATGTCGGTGTGTCCTAGTCAAAAACACCACTTCTGAAAAATGAAAAAAATTGAATTCATATGAGTTGAACTTTTCTACTCTTATGAGTAGAATATAGGATTTCTACTCATATAAGTAGGAAATTCTACTCATGTGAGTCGGCGAATTCTGAGTAGCCTACTCATCATTTTTAGCAGGGAACGGGAACGTAGGTAGCAAAACGGGGATCTACACTTTATGGTGATTCAATGGGCGTCATAATTTGTGCCAGAATGACACGCGATATATATCACATCGATTAGTTGCATGTGTTCAGCTACTTGTCATTTTCATCGAATTATAACGTAATAAAGGCAGGGTTATTTAGTGAAGAAAAATTACATTCGATACTGATATCGAAACTACAGTCGAATGCGATCTTCCTCCCCTAAAAAAAAATCCAGCCTTGTTTAGATAAAATCGTTTGTCAAATTTGGTAAGAGAAGTTGTTTTAGTCTTGTGACAACATAAATGCGATTTCAAAATTCGATGAAAGTGGTAAGTAGCTGAAAACATGAAACTAATCGATGCGATGTCGCAGGTCGTTCTGACAAAAAATACAGCGTCCATCAAATCACCTCAAAGTTAAAATGACTCCTCTTTTTCGGAATATGTATGATTTAGAGAAGAAAGAGGTTGCAGTACTTAATCGCCTGATGAGAATCGTCTATGTTGACGTGCTCTCATTATCATGTTAAGGAAACCGGGTGAATTTAGTCGAATTTGCCTCAACGTTTTCGAATGGGAATTAAAAGTAGCTATTTTTTCCCAGGAAAACTTTATTTCATCAAAAGTAACGGCTGGTCGAGACTAAGGAAAATGAACATTTGCTTCGGAATAACGGTACCTACCTCGAGAAACGTTTCAACGAGATGCAACTGTAATTTGAAACCGATTCTGTTTTCATAACTCAATGAGATTCTCAAAATGGCCTTTTTCTTCCTATTCAAGCAACATTTCCCTATGATCCGATTTGATAAGCACATGCTTCCGATGGAATGGAGAATTAAACCGAAGGATTTGGTGTCAAAACATACCTTAATCCCAAGTTGTATTCGACGAAAACAAAGTCTGGTTCTCCACTCCACTCCTTGAACCTAACGCAGGTTTCGCGCATAATGTCTTCCATGGCTTCAAACACTTTCAAATAATCGTGATGGAAGGACTCCCCTTGAAATAATGAGAAACAAGCAGTGAGCTACAACAAGAGCCGCGTAACTGAAGTTTTTAACTTCATAGTGAGAATCTGCAGCAATGGACCAGAAGACAAGATACACATTCAAGCAATATTCTAAAACGTGTTCTGAACCAGAACTTCACTTAACAAAAACACGATTCGCGCGACCGATTTACTGAAATTAATACCTAATTTAAATATTTAACTTTTTTGCTGCGTTAATTTTAACCTCCCGCTCATGAAAAAACAAAAGTATACGTAACTAGGGGGCCCTGCCCCCTGGCCGCTAGGCGACCCAACCCCCGGAAGGGCGCTTCGCGGGCCCTATACGCATATGCATACGCAAAAATGTTCTTCCATTTTAATACACGATTTTGTGTTCGAGCTATGCATTTTTGACGTAACACTCAGATTTGTAAATGATGAAGAATAGCTGGATGTACATAATTTCACAGTCCACCTATTGGAGAAATTTCCATTTACTATGTTATTTTTAAATACTTAATTTTTTTAAAAAAAAAATCGGATTTCGACCGTGAAGAGTTAATAATATTTGGTCCGTCCCGACGCGACGCAGCGCCTGCCTTCTCACTTTATATCTGCTGTAAATAATAATAGAAATTCAACAATCAAGTAAATTGACCAATGCCACAAATCGAAGCCGGAAGAATGAGGAGAAATTGAGTAAAAACCTTATACCTCGGACCTTGAACCTTAAACCCTGAGCGATGCACCGTTCCTCAACTCTTCGAATGAGGAGCCCTTCACGAGCTTTTCCATTGTTTTATTGTTTATTCGAGCCACTCAGGTAGAATCCCACACTTTGACGTTTTTAGCGGAAACGACATATCTCTCACGCTATTAACATTGGACTTAAGTGACATGAGCTTTAAAAGCTCTACAACATTAAAAGTTCGGGGTTTCATAATTTTTTGCACATCTACATCTACTACAGATGACATACATGTAAAGATCATCCTTATCGGTCCGGCAGTTCGTCAGAAATAGTGCTTCCAAGATTTTGCTTGTAGCTGTATAATATAGAGAAAATTTAGAGAAAATTTATTCGAGTCACTCAGGTAGAATCCCACACCTTGGCGTTTCTAGCGGAAACGACATATCTCTCATCTCATATCTTGCTTGTAGCTGTATAATATAGATAGAATCTACTACAGATGACATACATGTAAAGATCATCCTTATCGGTCCGGCGGCAGTTCGTCAGAAATAGTGCTTCTAAGATTTTGCTTGTAGCTGTATAATATAGATAAAATGGCGCACAAAACGTTACTGTGGCAATCCATCCGGTATGCAGGGCCGGATTAAGGGGGTGGCCACATGAGCCGCGGCCCATGCCGGCAAATCTATAGGGGGCGGCAAATTCTGCAATTTTTTTAAATGCAATTATTTGAAAAAAATCAGATTTCGAAAAAAAAATTACAAACGAGAAAAGGCGACCAAATCTATCATTTCCTGAGAGTATAGTAATTTCTAATTTTGTCGTCTTTCAGCGATACAAGAGACAGCACCTCAAGTTAAGAGAGAAACCAAACACGCAATTTAGCCTGGAGCGGCGCGACTTAGAGAGAAATGATGACGAGGACTTGAGAAGAAAAGGAGAAGCCCTCGGTGCGGCGATCGGCATGTAACACATATTAGCGCCTACAAGAGTGCACGAATACTTCACGCATTGCATCAAACGCAGAGCGGTCATTGCGGTCAGCGTGAAACGGATAGCGCACACAAGAATGCATGAATGCCTCACGCATTGCGGTAAACACAGTGCGATCAGCGTGAAACGCATAGCGCCTACAAGACTGCGTGAATACTTCACGCATTGCGTCAAACAACGCAGTGCGGTGTGCGCGGCGCGGCGGCGGAAGTTAAAATCATTAATCCACATTTTATGTTTGTTTTTTCATAATTTTGGCGCGTATACGTAGTATACCGCCTTTGCGATCGTTTCGAACCCTGCTCGATACAATAACCGAGTCCCTTAGTTCCTTACCGAAAAGTGACTACCGCGAACTTCTGAGATTTTCCAAAGCGTGTAAAAAGTTTATTTATCCGTCAATAATTATGATTTAAAGTTGTTTCTCATTCTGGGGCTTTCTAGTTTATGTGCAGTGAATACCAAGAGCCTACGTTACTTGGTTTTTTTAAAAAAAGCCTAAGAGTACGACGCGCTGATTTAAAATATGCATATATAGGCAGAAGCAAGCGAACTGATTCGAGGATGGCTGACCAGTTCGGCACTCCTTGAATGAGAATTTCACTCACTCCGTTTTGTTCAAAACGTTGCTTTGACAGATCTCCACACCACTGTTATCCTTTTCAAAAGTTGGTACGCCTTGCTCTGATAGCCAGGGACAGCAGGATAGTGGTAAGTGCAATCTGTGATGAGCCTTGAAACTCATTAGACCATTTGCTAAACGTGGCTCATACAGGAATCCACCTATCCCTCTGTTCCCCACGCTCCTGATCACTGCGTCGGCGTCACGAAGAACAATAGGCCTTGGGCCGCCTTGGGTCCCAGCGCGGCCGAGACCCGTACCCCAATTACTCACGCTTCATTAACCATTTCACCGTCACGCTAGGATTCATCCAATTTTAAAAAAAAAATTATTTCGCGTGTATTTAGCAATTTTTTCCTTACTTCCCGTTAAATCACAAATAAAAAGAGACCTCATCCATCAAAATCGGCCGAATCGAAGAGAAGTTACAGTAATCGAAATCCGAAGAAATCAACAAATCCTCGACTTCTCGATACAAAAAATAAAATGAAGGGGGAAAAAAGAAATGTATAAATTACAATTAAATATAATTGACCTTAGAATTTGACAAGCAAATCATTTATATACCTAACGCTGAAAAAACTGGGAGAAATTACAAAAAATTCGCCTCTGCAAGGGGCTTCTTTGTAAGAATTTTGACCTGAAGACAACGGTCGAATAACAGCAGTACTCCATACAATACACGGTGTGCCTGAACGAGTTAAACATTTTTTATACGTCCAAATCGAAAAATCTTTATATTTTTAACTACAATGTCTCTTGAATCGTTTAAGCAAAAAAAAAAAAAAAATTCCGTCGAGATTCTGGAACGCAAAGGCGCTTTAAAAGTATTCTGGGGCTATAATAGCTAAGTCACCGGTAGTAAATCCCGTTATATTATTAAAAAGGAATTGACTCCATAGTTTAATTCCTTAGTTTCTTGAATACGATTACTTTAAGCACTGAAACATTTATACCACCAATTTTAGCCATGGGGTGATTTCCTGAGAGCCGATAATATCACGAATTTCTCATAGAACCCTTCAACAGTGGCTTGCTTTTTTGGCAGCCGATTCGGCCATCGAACCGGAGTTTAAATGGAAGCTGATAATACCCCAAAGCTCTGAGAAAAATTTTGAGATGAGTATAAGAACGGTTTGTTGTAAGTAACGAGGAGAGGCGGGGAAAGCGGCTAAAATCCGATCTAATTTTTACAGTTTTTCTGTTGAATTAATGTTGCCGCGGTCTTCTGACTGTATCCACACATAGTTTCTGTTCAGCATATCGATACATAAGTATTTACACACGTAGAATCTAATTTTCACGTCGGGGAGTCGACATATTTTGATTTTTTCGATTTTATACGGAAAATTGATGGTTTTTTGAGGATTGAAATTATTATTGTTCCATGAAAAATAAATGCACCCAAAATGACTATAGCATATTGACTTTCACACATTTGCACTCACGAAATTGGTTGGTAAATTCAACGAGTGGGTGCATCGACCTGGTACATATGTATCAAGTTTCTGCAATTTTTTTACGGCAAATCAGTAGATTTTCGGGATGTAGATTGCTTACTTTCAATTCATGAATGAGTAAAGCAACGACATGGTTGAACTTCTTTGTATGGAAAGACGTTTAAAATAACAAAATCAAGACGTATTTATTGCAATTGCATTTATATAGAGTCAATTTCTTTTCAATAATATAACGGGATTTATACTACCGGTGATTTGGCGATTTGGGTATTTTAGCCCCAAAATACCTTTAAATCGACTTTATCTTCTAGGAGTTTGACAGAATTTTTCCTTTCTTCGCGTAAATTATTCCGTAGCACTTTTCTTCAAGAATCTGATAAGATTTTGCTTGAGGCAGATCAAAAAACTTAAATTCGATCGAATAGCTTTCTACATTCACAATACACGGTCTCGTCAAGGTGCGTAGTTGACCTCGCAGTGTTGGATCGTGAATTCTCTTGTTGTGCTGTTTGCCTATTTTGAAATCTCTGTAAATGAAAACTAAAGGGGTTGATATGTGCGAGTTAATGACGCGCCTTATCAACACATTGTGTTGGAGTTCACTGCTTGTTTTTTGTTCATTTCTTATGAATGGAAGGCCTTGTCCACACAGAGATAGGTTCACGAAACTTAACTTTCGCGCAAAGTTTCGTGAATTTTTGATAGTAGTGTTGACAGGGCTTTCCCCAAAAATGTGTTCAATACGAGTAAAGGCGTCTTGTGCACACCTCCCCCGCTGGCACGTTCATTTGATGGTTTTTATTAATGTTTCAAAATGAATGAGAAGGGGGCGGCAAAATAAAGACGGCCCATGGGCGGCAAGTAGATAAAGCCGGCCCTGACGTCATGATAATTTGACAACCCCAATTTCAGTGCTATGGCTCAGTTTTTACATTTGAACACAGAACAGTGAACACTTTGAATAAACACAAAGCGTATGGAAAGAACATCCCTCGATTATGAAACCTTTTGATTTAAGTATACGATTCTTTTTTTTTTTAGTGGGGAATCCAGATTTCCCGTTATCAATCCAAACTGTTATCATGTTATCCGTTATCATGTTCATGTCTATGTTAGGGGTTGTCTTTGGTATTTTTAGTCGCCTGAATCGTGTTTTACTTGAAATTCTGGTTGAAGAATATGTACTTTAGAATGCTTAAATTTTTACCACTTCTACTGGTTTACTAGAAGGTATACGAAGAAGCATGTATGAGGAAAAACAAACAGCTACATTTTCCCATAATTTTTCTCCCCGTCCTTTTCCACACCTTTTGAAGTGTGTGCCTGAATTAAAAATGCGCCTTGTCATACTTGATACCTGAGTTCACTACTTGTTTTTACGCCTTTTTTTGTGTTTCGTTTGGTAGATCCGCGTACTGCTTCATGACGTCTGACGCCTGGCACTCAGATCCTAGCCAAAAGTAGTTTTTTTTTTTTTCCCGGACAAGCACTGCTATTTCGCCAATTTAACATAAACCTTGAAAAAGCTGGAGAGACATTTTGCTCAGTATTTTCCTCATTACTTGAGCTGTAAGTGCAATGTGTGACGCATGATCAAATTTTAAGAGTTTCGTGCCCACCGCCACGAACAATAAATCTTTCACGGATCCCTTTCGTAATTATTTATGCAATCAGAGAGGATATAACAAAAACATCAGGGAAACTTATATGCAATGAAACTATAAGAAAAGAACACAAGTGGGCTCATTGCGATTTGGAACTCGAACTTTACTATCGTTGAGCAGTTTTTAGACCCCTACACTGAAAAAAGTGCCTTGTCCGAGAGACAAGGATTCTAGTCTCCCAGACGAGACCGTCTTGTTATATTTGATCCACAAGGTATTCTAGTTCATGGGACCCATACAGTCTTGTTCAGGGAACAAGACTTCCTTGTTGCATAAGTCAGAAGTCTAGTCACGGTAACAAAATTGTCTAGTTCTGGGAACAAGACTTGTCTTGTCACAGTTTTCGGAGGAATTAAAATTGCAAAAAAAATGTCACAAATTTTTATGAATTGCACGATTTATATGAAAATATAGTTGTTCTCTACTTCCTCCACTCCTCTTACACCAGATTCGTCCCATCCGACCGTTCAAATTTTACCAACCTGATCGGTATTAGAACGCGGGACCTTCGGTTAACGGACCGAGTGTCCTACTGACCGAGCTACCCAGGGTGGTTATTCCGGGAATCGATTTTTAAGTATAAGTACAGCCCACAGAATTACTTTTCCATTTTGTTGCTATCTCAAGTCTGTAGAATGCGTAGAGCGTCAGATTGTTTGGTTTTTTTCTTTTTTACCATTTACTGTTTACGAAAAGGAATTGAAATTCTACATCAGATGAAAATGGACAATTTAGGCCGAAAAAATGTGTTTCTTCAAGCAACGATGTTTCCTTCGTTCCGTGTTTATGATTCTAATTTTTATTTTTATTTTATATCATGACAATAATTAATAATATATAAAAAATCAAACGTTAAAAAAATATTTATATAATTAGATACATTTGATTTTAAAACCTTACGCATGAGCGATTTATTTTTAAAAAAGAATTATGAACTTATTGTTTTTACCTTTTCATTAAACATCCAGAAAAATTTTCGGGGAAAAATTATTAAGCGTAGTTCTTAAAATACTCTTTCAAAATATATAAAACAATACGCTCTCTTTGAATTTGACCATTACTCGTGGTTAGCAGATAATCTTGTCACAGTGACAAGATTATCGAGTCCGGTGGCTCAGAAACCTAGCATATAAAACAAGACTGGTCTTCTTGCATTAACAAACGGGTGTTGTTTCCCAAACAAACTGAGTTGTTTGGCAGACTAAAAGTCTTGTTCCTGAGACAAGGCAGGTCTAACAAGTTTATCTTGTCTCTACGGCTCTACTATTTTTTTCAGTGATACGATACCGATAATTTTCTTAGGAAGTAAAGATGAACTTTGGCTACTTCAGTGAGTCAAATCACGGAATGAGATCCACGGTTGTCAGTTTTTTCCACCCGATGTGGGACTGACGTCCCAGTCAAATGCGTTTTTGAAGAAATGATCGATCCCCATCGTTGCTTCATCTCCATATATTCATTAATGCGCAAATGATGGCACGCTTAGGTAACAAGGAAGGTTCTGTGACGAAATCATTTTTGTCTTGAGATAGTCTCCAAAATGTATACATCATACTGATCAAATATCCAACAACTTGGAAACATGGCTCGCGTAACGAGTGACCTAGAGTCCAGGGGGTGCAGCCCCTTGGCTGGCCTTGACGGACGCACAAAACGTGCCTAGAACGGCTAGTACGAAATAAACTTACACATTAAATCTTCCAATCTGTAGATAACAGCTGCTTTCGGCCACAAAATTTCCTTATTCTTCAGCATTCTCTTCCTTCGCCGCACCTAAAAGAAAGATGAATGTGAAGTACGAGTAATTGAACTGTGTTTTCTTCGAGATATAAGCTAACAACCGGTCGCATGCGGCGTATTTGGGCCCCCCGCCTCCTCTTTTCTCAAGATGGCGGCCTTAGCGGACAGCCGATTTTGGTAAACTTTCATTATGTTGTTCTGGTGATGTATTGCAGCATGTTTCCGCAAAAAACCGTAGATGCATTTATAGATTTTCCTAGAACATTGCTAGATTGACTGAACTATTTGTATCTTTGGCAGGATATAATATAGTATACTGGGGGGCTATGCCCCCTGGCCGCTACGCGGCCCAATCCCCCGAGGGCAATTCGCCCTCTCTTGGGCCCGCTTTGGCAAAAGAACGACCAAAAAAATGAAAAGATTTTCATACCCGGCTCTCATTTGTCCAATTTCCCTCTGGCCGAGAGCGATTGGACCAATAAGAATCAAATAAGAAAACCGCCATTTATTTCAAACTTCAGGTCTACACTGAAACGAAACCGAACGATCGGAACCGAGCGATTTGTTACTTTTGGATAGTCTGTAGTAAAAAAGCATACCTTTGATTCACTTACCTTACCTTACTAACAGACCAAGGTCCACAATTTCCCGCTTAGTTCTAATTTTGTCCCTTTTCTAAGCTCCCAGGTATTTTCTAGTATAAAAAAATCTGGATCATATTTCCAAAATCTGATTACAGGGGGCTCATTTAGGGACTATCACCTGTCAATTACCGCTAAAATTATGGAAATCGGCCCAGTAAAACGCTCAAACGAACTATGACAAAAAATAAAAATGTGCATTGTTTAAATGGGAGAATTCGCAACTTTACCGCATAATATAAAAGAATCTAGATCATATTTTCAAAATCTGAATAGAGCGGGCTCATCTAGAGACAATTGTTTGTCGATAGCCGCAAAAATCAAGAAAATCGGCCCGGTAGAACGCTGGAACTAAGCGTTACCAGATATGCAAATTTAGGAGGTCTTGAAGCTTATATATATGACTAGCGAAATGCCCGTGACTGGAGTCACGGGTCTAGAGGCCGCTAAAATATCTATAACCCCGAAAAAATGGTGGTAGGGGAGCAAGACATGCCATACAAAAAAATGATCAAATCGATAGAAAAATGAGTTGTGGGGAGAGGGTGTTGGAGCTAGAAAAATGAGCTGCGGGTTGGGGGGGGGGAGGTAGAATAAATGCTGGCAAACAAATTAGAACTAACCTAGCAATGATTTATTAAAAAAAGAAAGAAAAAAAATGGAAAAAAGAAAAAAATAAATTGAAATAAAACATCAGCTGATAGCAAACAAAGGTTACCAAGGAAACCAAGGAATGGAACTTTCATAAAAACAGTTTAGTGGAAAACAGCGTAAGTAGGGCACTTACGTCAATTACCGTTTATAAGTAAACGGTAAATGCGATTTAACCGAAAATTTAAACAGTTCTTCATAAGATCAAAATGGACAAAATTGCAAAATTTGAAGAAGCTAACGTAAATCTAACGATAGTTATCGTGAACGAAAGAATTGCTGACATAGGTTGGGTAACTATTATAGGTGGGATTTTTTCCCAAAATACGACATGTTGCGTTTTTTGGACTCAGTTCATTTGAACGGAGCCTTAGGTGGTATTGTAATAATGATTATTACCGACGGATTCGTACTGAAGCGAACCTCCGCATATTCGTCCTCGACATCTATCAACCCACCGTTCGGCAGTTCAGTAAGACGCCCGCTGACGTTCATCACAAGAACCATCACCAGAAATACCAACATCGTGCCACTTAGAATCTACGAGTTGAGCATAGCAGAGGCTCAACTAAAACTAATTCAACTCAAACTTCAACCAAACTAATTCAACTAAAACTGAAGCCGAAAGGTACCACTGTTGTCGAGATCCTTAGGACCACGTTTATAAACTACAACTCCCATTCATAGACGTCATTTCACATGCCGTGCTCACTTTTTTAAGTGTCCTTGCGGGGGCTTTTTCCTTTTTTAAAACATATTTTCAAGTACAACGCAATATTTCCAGCAATGAGCGCTGTTTCAATAGTTCCGTACCGCACGAAGATGCACACATTCTGATATTTAAAATGGGTTTGATTTTTTATTTCTGATGAAGACTCGACGTCGAGGAAAAAAATATACGCCTTTCCTCACGTTCGAGTGATTTCTGCTTAACTTCGAACTGCGACAGGAAAAAAAGTGTGGCTGGTTGAATCTAACAACTCTCCAACTCATCTCTTTAGAAATCGTGACTTGTCATGTTTGTGTGCGTCAGTAGCCATTGTCGAGTATGAGGGTTGGAAAATGGAAAAAATCGGCCTGAGTCATTTGGATGTGGGATCATTAAAGAGTCAGCGAACAAGAAAATAGATATCTCACACCAAAAATACAATCGGAAAGCTCTAATACTCGGAAATACATGAATGAGAGGCCTCCCGCTTCGGGAATACATCAATTAACAATGGTAGAGAATGTTCTCTACCATTAGGAAAGTTTGAATAATTTTATCCCGGCAGTGAGGCCACCTGCAGTAGTACAGAAGTTCTTTACTGCTGTTGTACACGTGAATTTCTTTTCATCGGTACGGTTTCAAAATTTGACGTCAATCCACAGAGTATTTATATATTTGACGAGTATACTTATACAGAAAATGAATGCAACAATTATTTAAAAAATGCGACTTAACAAAAACTGTCAAAAGATAAAGATAAAAAGGAAATAAAATTACAAAATTCAATGAAAATAACAATACTGAATATGTTAAAATATCGCTGGCATGAAGTTCAGAAAATTAAAATTAAGCATATGTTTCCTGTTATGCTCTCTGCGCTCCATGTTGTAAATAATTAATAGAGATAGAAATAGAAAACAAAGATAGAATCACCTATTTAAGGACTTTAAATATCTACTATTTTTCTCCTTGTCTTTACAGTAAACTGTCTACGTTATTACACAAATCTCTTTTTCTAAGTAAAGTGAAAAAGAAAATGCTTTAAAAACTATCGTAAAATCTATCGAAAGTCTTCTACTCGTCTAGTTATTTTTAAATCAGTGTAGAGGATTCTGTGAGTTTCTTATTCATTCTGATTTCAGCTGCTACATGTATTTGTTCGTTTTTTCTACACGTCAATGAGCCTCGGAAATCATTTTACGATCATGATTCCGCAAAAGACTCCCGAGACTACTGTTACGTCGATTCTCGGGCTTCGGCTGCAAATTGCATTATGTACTGCATATTGATCCCTTTTTATTTCACCAAGATAACAGTTCAGTCTGAATTTTGAGCTGAGGACTATTTTTTGAGAAAAATTGACTGTGCCAACGTTTCCATTTTACGTATACATCTTCTTCTTTTGTAATAATGACATGGGGATGAATTTTCTTGTAGTTGTAAATCCTAACGTCTTCTTCAAACTGAAATCAAAAGAAATTTAGGTAATGATTAATTTTGCGTATTTCTGCCAAACGGAACTATGTGCATTGTGACAGGAGCCCTGTAATGCACATACTCTTATTGCCTCAGGGCTCATGTCTTAATGCACATAGTTCCGTTTGATAGAAATACGTCCAATTTGCGCAAAGAAGAAATAACACTGCTGAAACAAGATAATTGAGATAAGCCAGTTATGGAATGAGCATTGATGCATTTTTTTTAAAAGTTAATATCCAGGTCTAATGTGTCTAATGGGTAATTTTTTCCAAAAAATTGATAAAAGACCAACAAAATAAATCATTTATTTGTTGCCGTATGGACTGTATGGAGAAAAATCTGGCGCTTATTCTTGGCAAAAAATCATGACGTCGAAAATGAGCACATCGATGTTTAGATTATTTTGACTGATTGCAATGCATACGTTACAATTCATATATTACGATAGATATGTTATAATGAATCAAATCGATTTCGATTGGCCGAGAACTTATAGTTTTTCCCTCCTCCTTGCAAAAATACAGTTTTTTTTTATTTTTGATTAAGAGATTATCTTTTTTACGTCTGTACAACTTTAAATCCTCCCGACAGCGTGAAGGCCCGAGTCACACTCTACGGAAAAATAGTGCATTACTAATTACTTGGTTACTAACTTATGCATAAAATAACTTTTAACCTTCGGTTATTTTCGCCAGTATAATATTGACTGCAATTATTTCTTATTATCGCTAAATCTCCGACAAGAGTTTGACACTTCATCATTGGTTTGATTATGCTTACCTATTGGATCAACTATGACCACCACAGAATCTAATTTTCTGTTCAGAAATGAATATTTGGTCATTAGAGCACCAGGTAAAAAACTATATAACATGGGAAAATTATTCCTAGTATTTTCTCTCCACTATTACATTGAGGATCAAGCCTCCCACTTTCGGGAAGGATATGATCAGAGACAAGAGACCCTCCACTAGTATCTTGGCCATTGTGGAAGCTTTTACTTTCGGGACTTCAGCACTCCACTGTTGACTTACCTACATGGTTGATGTTCAACAACGTGTTGGCAGTTTCGTTTTGCAAACAAGCCGAAAATGGCCGACGTTTCGGAAACTTGTTTGGCTCATGACGTCATCCGAAGCTCATCATCGACCATGTAGGTATAAGTCAACAGCCGAAACTAGGGTGATGACTGTTGCTCCCTAGTAATTGTCCATAAGGAATTGTTGAAACCCCGAAAGTAAAAGCTTCCACCTGTCGCTAGGAGGCCAGTGGAGGGTCTCTTGTCTCTGGATATGATGCATAAAGATCGTTGCTTAGGTTAATGTTAGTATACAAAATTCAAATATGTAATCATACGTACTGTGTATAGAAACAGGCGAAAAACCAGTCGATTCAGGGGCACGAGCAAAGGATGGCAATAATGCACAATCACTACCCGCTGGATCGCAGGCCCAACAGGTGTGATACAAGTCAAACATTTCATGTGCGCATTCATTTTCAATGTGCTTATATTTATTTCAGTCTCGAAATGGCCAGCATTAATCTAGTGATTCACACAATAATACCAACAAATTACGACGATTTATAATACATGGACTAGCATAACTTGCATGTGCGATTCCCGAGATTTGTTTTAAACCAACAAATGCATGAAACCAGGGAATTAGACTTTTCTATCTCCTTCACTAATTCGTCATGAGCATCCAAAATAAACAACCCTAGAGGATAAATTATTTGTACCAACACCAGGAACGTATCGCGTATCGCTTATATATGGCATCAATGAAAATAGTTTAAGACATGACCGGGATTTTAAGATTTTGATAGGAAAAGCCATTTAGAGCAGAAAACATGATTTGCGAGTGGTTCAGGTCATAATTGTGCTGATTTGAAGTTACACCAACACTCGTCCATTTTTTGCTCTTCACAAAACCTTAAATAAAAAAGGAATTTAAAATCTCGAAATTTATTAAGAGATAAGAATTTTAATATTATTAACACGTAAGAGTTAAAATAAACAGATTTTTAAAACAGCACTTTAATAAATTTAAATTAATAAATTGAGAAAGATACCTGTTTAATAACCATGAGCAAGAGAGAGAGAGAGATAGAAGAATATATTTAATCATTAACCTTGTATTTTGTACCGGAATTTTTAATGCATTTTTCTTGGAACAACCTTTTCCCTCACGAAGTTCAGACTGTGACGGTCTCATTTTATTTTTTTTGAAGGGAACATATCAATATCACTATTTGAAGATTTCACAGAATTTTTTTTGCACAGAGAAGGGAAATCACGGAGGTTTCCAAGAATTGACGTGAGGTAGTTTTCCATTTTAATAATAAGAAGTGGCAGGAAGTTTCCAACGTCACAACGCGAGATATGTGCTCTGGTAGTTTCACTTTCGGAATGTATTTTATGAAGTGTTAAGATGTCTTGTCGAGACGAGCTAATCAATACAGGTTTTATTCGTATATCATAGACGCTGCTGATACGATTTCATGAATAATGAAATAAACAAATAATTTACCAATTTCACACTTGCTCTGATAGACAGCACTGTGATTCTGTCGAGAATATTAAGATGCAAGCAGGTTTTCGACAGGGCCCTATGAGGCTCAGTATGGTGAACTGTCCATTCTTCTATTTTCGCAATTAACCTTAAGAAATGCCTTAAACTGAAGCTCTTGTCAGGTGCGAATGTTCTATCCCGCAGCCATGGTGGCGCATGTATTGCTTGAAAATGTTCCAGGTCAGCAGAGCCGTGTGGAAGATCCTGGAAGATAGAACATGATTTAGATACAAGATATTATTTTCTGCAAGAGTGCGCAATTTGACCCGCGTAAGGTTTTGTTTTTCTTGTGACTGGGCAATTCAAAGTTCCCGTAACCAATGGACAATAAAAACGTTAATATCTTAGCTATAGAAGTTGATCTCAATAGGTTTGCTACGCGAACCGTGTTTTATGTGAAATTGTGGTGAAGAATCATATATCAGATTGCTTAAATTCGTGCCTTGTTGAATGGTCCATTCAATCTAAAAAAGCAAACACAGAGAGCAGAACTTCCTTAACTTTTATCAGAAAAAATATTTTATCGGGAGAAACGAGGCAACGTTGGAATGCTCATACGGCGTCGAAACACAATATGGATCTTTTAAGCCCCATTGGTCAATGCTGCGATTCTCCTAACGCGAGTTGGAATAATCGCGCCAAACACGGTGCGATCAACGTCAAACTCATATCAGTGCCTGCAAGACTGCAGGAATACTTCACACATTGCGCTGGATGGTGCGGTCGGCGTCGGACGCATATTAACGCCTACAAGCCTGCATGAATACTTCTCGCATTGCACCAAACGCAATGCGATAGTTATTTGTGATAACTATTCGACTACGGGTATGGGCACATTGCGTTTAGCCAGATTGAGGGCTAATCACACCGTGAAGATGACTCGACACTCAACCGCACTTTCTTTCCCTAGCTTGCGCGACGCTAAAATCGCCGCAAAACTAGGATCACGTATCATTTTTTTTGACGGCCCCTACCCGGTTTTTACCACATTTACAGGGTAAATATGTATATTGATGCAACGATTAAAAAACTCGGATGATGTTAAAACGATGCAGCGATTCTGGAACTTGATTCGCGTGAAATTAATTTCGGTTTAAAAAAAAAAAAGAACGAACGAAAGTATCGCGTCTAAATTTTTCGTGATTTTATTTTAAATCATTCTGGAAATTTCTCGAAAGCTTCTAAGAAATCGCGTGTAGCTTTTTTTTTTAAAAAAACAAAAAAAACAAATTGATTAAAAACAAAACATGAGTAGGGATGCGCAACACTGCAATCGGAGATAAGAACACTTTTTTCCGCGCGCAGGCGTCGCTTTTTGATTTCATCCACGGTAGGCGTAACGAGATAAATATTCGACCACGCCTGTAGGCATATCGCCGCCAGCCGGATGGAAGGCACTACATGCACAAAATTTCGAAGTAATCGAAAAATTACCTCTCACAGGCCCCACACTGAGATAAAACCCCGGTTGTAAAAGTCACAGTTACAGGCATTCTACCGTCGTGCTAAGGAAACACACCGTATGGGTCTTCAAACGTTGTCAAATTTCCTTCGACAAAAAACGAATTTCCCGGGATTTAGAGTATTTTTCATTCATATTTTCAGGCAATTTAGTCCACAGTTCAATTTAAAACATCTGAAAATTTCAAGGAAAAATATGCATTACTTTCTAAAAAAATACATAATTTTTCCGGGAGAAATTTGGCAACAGCAGAATGTTCATATGGCGTTCTTCCTTAGCACGGCAGTCCGTTCCGGGCTATCGAGGCCACAAGTTTTGGTTGTACCTGTCGTTGGCTCGGTTACCAAACCAGAAACAGTTGTAGCTACGGCTCCAGCACCCAGAACTTTCGGCCTCTGAGCCCGGAAGGAACGGAACGTCTGTAAGGCCCATAGTTACACCTTTCACAGCTGCAGCTTTTTTCCCCAGTGCAGAATTTCAAACCGTAAATGATAATCTGAATTAGTATTAAAGAAGAAAGCGAAAACTAGAGTCCCTTTATACTGAGAGTCAAGACAACACCCCCTCATGGAGTCACAAACGGGAATAAAGATTACACAAATTGAACGTTTTTTGTAATCTTTGATCGGCCCATTCTCAAATTCCTTTCTCCGTTCCTTCTCTCATTCCGTTTGTTCCTTGCCGAACCCGTAATTCCCTGGTTCATTCCAGATTATAATCTTTGCAATCGGTGAAAATGTAATCTTTATTCCCGTTTGTGACACTGCAAAGGCCTAAAATACGGGAACCAATCAGAAATGGATTCACATTGTCTTGACTCTCAGTATAAAGGGACTCTAGCGAAAACAAGAGATGCGGACTTACTCCTATAGATCCGTTTATGAGATATTCACATTTGCCTGCAAGGGAATATTTTCCACTCATGATCTCGTCTACCGGAGGTATCTCGTAGGTTGGCTCCTCTCCTTCGGCATGATACCACACAAATATCATGTGATTGACTTCACAACACTTCCACGCCTGAACCTTCGCAAGTCTCGGCACTGACGACAAAATGTATCAATCACATAAATCGACTCTCATCTGCATAGGGAAACTAATGGCATAGATGGTGTTTCTTAATTGAGCCAGAAATTGAAGTTCTTCATTGTAAAATGAAGTCCAATTAAGGGGCTTGAAGGACAAGGCGCATGAGTGCAGTTTTTGAAAAATTGAGGTATTAATGATTTCAAGTAAAACTAGGCTTAATGCATACGATGTTCTGAGGCAAAATCGCTCGCAAATTCAAATTTTTAAGCATTAAAAAATTAGACAGTATGTTGGAGTTTTTGCTAACGTGCGTTAAAAATTCAGCATACAACTGAGAATCTTATTTCAGAGGGAAAACGCTCATTCGAGTACAGTTTTCCGTCAAAGAAATATGCTGTTTTACACAAACTGATTGCGGTAGACGCACTCTGTATTGAGATTTTCAGCTATATGCTGAATTTTTAACGCACGTTGGCACAAAATTCCATCACACTGTCTTACAACCAATGCGTCCACAGCAATCAGTTTGGGATTAAATATTTAGTTTGAACTTCCTTTCCGTCATAAGGATCCATGTAATTTTGAAACTTTAAACACGTACTTCTGAGTACAACAGTTTCCCTAGCTATACTAATCATAATTATTTGCTGAAATGGTAGTTTCGTACTACGAGTACATGTTTCAAATGTTAATCACTCAATTTTATTACGAATATGTTTGCATAATGTTGTTATTCTGCGTGCATAAATAAGAGTTTTGGAAAGAAAATGACTTTCGGTACATACTCATTTTTGCCGATGTATTGTGTTCTCTCTCTCTCTCTCTCTTTCAAGGCAGTAAAATAAATAAGTTGCCAATATTCAAAGAAATCAGACTGGGAGGTTTAAACCAAGTGTTCAATTCCGTAATGCATTTACCTTTATCAGTGTAAGGTATGCTTTTGCACTTTCCAGTGTCGCCATCAAATCGCCATCCGTGGAAGGGACATTGCAAGCAATCATCTTTTACAATTCCGCCCACTCCCATGTTGGCTCCCAAGTGCGGACAATATGCGTTTACCACGTGCACTTTCCCGTTTGATTTTCGAAAAACAGCGAAATCTTCACCTGAAATGAAAAAAGTTGTATTACGTTTATCAATTTTACAAAGCATAAGCGCCTTGCCACCCCTAGGATATGGCTCTGGTTGCATGCATGGTTGAAAACTTAGATTAAGAAAATAAATGATAGAAGTGACGACTGTTAAAAATTACTTAATTTAAAAAAGACAACATGAAGAAACTGTTTAATTGTTCGTTTTTGAAAACTTTTTCAGCATATTTTTTGAAGTAAAATTGACGGGAGAGAATTTTTTAAAAAAGTGTTGACAAGTCTTAAAATATTAGCATATTTCTCAACACTAAAAATGTTTGAGAAAACATTAGAAAACTCGTAACAAAGTGGTCATTTATCCGTTTCATGTACATTTTACTGCACGTTAAAACTTCAAAAATATCCCAAACCCGTTTTAAAAAAAAACAATAATTTCAACAATTTTTAAAGGTGAAAAATAATTATATGGATTAAATTATTTTAACTATTTTTTTGTTTTTTGTTTAAATTTAGGAAGAGTTCTAGTTTCTGTCAAAAATTGTAGACCCGGTACTTCTAAAAAAAAGTACGGTATATCGATGCGGGTGCGTTGAAACTTTCTTGATTCATTTGCATTGCTTCACCGAGTATTTGAGAGGAGCATTCGTTAGTTACTTTTTTCTGTAATTAAAAAAAAGGAAAATGCAAATAAAAGTTTGTAGCAAAACAACTTAAGCCACAAAAAAAAATTCACCTAGAGCTTCAATGTACTTGACGCAATTTGTTCTCACTTCATCAGAGTGGCACAAAAATGTCCAGCCGTTTGCGTACATAGGTATGCTTTTCGATGGGTTTTCATTTTCCTGGCGGGCTCGTTTCAGGAACCGTTGACGAACCATTGTTTCAGATGATGCCACATTGAAGCGTAAATCACTTTTGATGCCTGTAAGATCCTGGTATATTTAATCACAATTTATTAGTTATGATACAATATTCCGTCATGAAGAGCCGATAAATCTGACGATCCTACTTTTTTCGACAGTCAATTACGCTAATGCAGAGTAACAATGAAGCAAAAAGTCATGTCATGTCTTCAGTTGCTCGAACCAAGAATAGAGTGCCATAATAAATTAAAGCGACGTTGCCTTTTGAATTAACAGAGTCGCTGTATATTCTTATCTCAATGACTACTTGCAAAAATGCTTATCATAACTTTAAAATTTAAGAAGATCCATGCTCGTATCATTTCCTCGAGGATAAAGTCAATCAAAATGTTTCCCGCAAAACTTTTTGTGATATTTTTTAAAATGAGTGATGAATATTCACAGAAAATTTCAATTAAAACCGTTAGTTATTTTCTTTTTTAAAGCAGAAACTAACGATGTTGCAACCTCAGATCTTGGTGCAAGGTATTTTTTTGGTGTAGGTAGAGTGGTTCTTAAAGTGTTGGAAAATAAAATGTTTTTCAACATAGGTATCATGACCAACTGGACTGAATAAGTAGGGAGTTGTAACTTCATGAAATGTTTTACGTTTCTACAAACGTCAGTCGTTTCATACTGAACGTATCTCATAAATTAGTAAGGAAAGGAAGGCATAGATAATTCTAGTGATTACACTGAACTCCCTCTTTCTTCATCAAATCGGAACCCGGAAAAGTTAGGAATCAGCGATTTCATTATTGCGGAGTTGCTCGGTCATTTGTGAAAGTTCGAGTTTGTTTTACACGAAGCGTCTGTTACTTAAGATAATCAGATAATGAAATACCTTTTTTCAATATAAAAGCACCTATTATTCCCCAGTGGTGATTCTTAAAAGTTGGCAACACCGTTTTTTCTCCATTCAAATGTATGTAAAACAATCGATTCTCGGTGAGACAATTGCTTCACCTGAAATAGATATTTGTAATAGATGTAAATGGAGGATAACAATGTTGTCAACTTGCAAATTTGCCACGAACAATCCCAAAGTGCGCGTGGAAAATATATAAACCCGCTCCCAATCGCGCAACTTGCGGAGTTCGTCGCACATTTTAAAGTTTCCTTTCTTTATCTTTACCTTCATCGTTCACATCCAGGTTCTCCCATTATCGAGGAGGAAAACATTACCTAAAAAGTAACCCCAGGAAATGGTTTCAGCTCTCTTCCCACTCGTAAAATTTCAATCGTCTTAAATCATTTTTTTTTTGGGCCTTCTTTTTTTAAAATTAGGAGTGGGAGGCAGGTTTGAAGAGGCAAAAATCACACTTGAGAAAACCTACAGATTGCGATAGTATTCCGAAATAGGCGAAGAGGCCTCTCTGACCATTACTATAACTCGTCTTATTAGTGGTACTCTTTGCCTCGTGTGTAATTATACAAATCCGTGCTAATTAGCCAGATTCTTATCGCTATGCTTGGGTAATTTAGCCGGAAAAAGATATTCTCTATTAACAAAGTTTAATTGAAACAGAAATGAAGGAAGGTAATGCAGAAATACACCGTATATGGATATGATATTATCCTCACGTATTCAGATCTTGTGTTACGTGCAAAAATATCCGATTTCACGTATCCACCAATTAGTATAATTTTACATGTTACGTATGTAAATTTTTTCTCCTGCACTTCACATTTGGAAAATTAAAAAATTTACTGTAAGTATTGTCGAATGGAACTGGATTCTTCCCATTTTTGAGACTGTTAAGAGGTGATCAGGCGGAGAAATTGTGGAATTAATAGTCGGCCTGGGGCCATTTTTCCCAGTATTTACATGTCGCACATTCAGTGCCTCTCTTTTAAATTCGAATGGCTACAATCGCTTGATACATAAGCCTGAGTTAGAAAAACGTTAGAACCGGGAACAAATTATTATTCCAGTTCTTTTTTTAGATCCACCTTTCGAATAAAATCCGTGATTTGCCAGTTTCCTCCATGGTCGATTTTGTCTAAATTTAGCTCAACTTTTCACTGGTTATTACAAATTACAGATGACAGGGGGCCAAAAATTTTAAAATCTGATTTTCAATCTTGCAGTGAATAAATGCAGAGAAAAGTAGGAATCGTTGAACAATCACCACTTGATAATTAAGCGTAGAATATATCCCAAACGTTTTGAATATAGAGAGAAAATGTGGACTTATGAGGTTATATCTTACACGATAGACAGTGACGGGTCGGTAAAATATGAGGTAAACAAAGCTAGCGGAGAAAGCAATGAAGATGAACATTAGTGCCCAAGGTTGATTGAGAAGTGTGATGAACACCATTATGCTCCGGGTGATATTTTCAATCCAGTGGCATCCGATGTAATTGCCCATGTTCTTTTAGAACAACTTTTGCGTCGGGTTGAATAAACTTCCTCCCCGGTTTGAATTGAATCCTGATAAATTAAAAAAAAAAATCCATATAATTCAATGGCTTAATTGTTCATTTACGATGGTCACAAAAGGAATATTCCTAAAAGCAAACTATTGGCATCTCCAAAATTGATCGATGCTGAAGATCTTCATTTAAACTTACCTTAGAGTTATACTTCAAATCGTCAACATTCTGAAACATCAACAAAGACTTGAGTCCCTGTTTGTTATGCCTGAAATTTTAAAACGTGCCTTGAAACAATTTTGGTTTTCAAATGTCCCCCAGGAATTCAACTGAATTAGTGGTCATACACAAAGTAAACGACATTTGGCGATGAGGAACTACTAAGCACGGCTCACCCATAAAAGTACTTTTCTGTATAGGGAAACTAATTGCACACCAAATGTAAAGGCAAACGAACACGATGTGTAAACAAAGCAAGGGGAATCACGCTAGTTGTTGACGGCGCAGAGATACAACTATGCGTGCTTGATGGACGTCCGTGTTGCATGCGCGAAATTGAAGGCGTGATGGCACGAGGCGTGACCTTGCAACGCTCCTCTCTGCGCTCTGTGCTGCTAGTAGAGTGTCAGTGCTAGTAGATAGTCCAGGCAAATAAGCCATGAAAAGGGCCATAGCCTGCAAAAATCCCGGGTAGCAATGTTTTCATCAATTCCCATGTAATTTTTGACGTTGAATCCGAATTTCAACTTTGCGCCATTAAATTCGGACCGGAAAGTTGCCAAATGTGGCAAAAATGGCCTAAAATCGGACTTTTTTCCGGATTATGGCCTGTAACTTGCCAAAAATTGATCTGACGATACAATTAGTTATTTTCAGAAATAAAGCTCGTTAAATTTCCTATAAAAAAGTTCCAATTCACTTTTTTGCTCAAGGCAAAATCAAGCGAGCTGGCGGGCTCCAAACTTTGAAAAATGAGCGAAAATTTGGTTTTTTGCGGGTTATGGCCTATGACTCGTCCAAAATTGATCTAACGACAATTGGGTTGTTTTAAAATAAAAGTTCGTTAAATTTCCCATAAAAAAGTTGCTATACACTTTTTTGCTCAAGGCAAAATTAAGCGTGCTGGCGGGCACCGAACTTTAAAAAATGAACGAAAATTGCGTTTTTTTGCGGTTTTTGCTAAAATCCCGGGGAGTTATACTTTCAGTGATTCCTACGTAATTTTCGACGCTGAATCCGAATTTCAACTTTGCACCATTGAATTCGGACCGGAAAGTTGCCAAATTTGGCAAAAATGGCCTAAAATCGGCCTTTTTTCCGGATTATGACCTGTAACTTGCTAAAAATTGATCTGACGATAAAATTAGTTATTTTCAGAAATAAAGCTCGTTAAATTTCCTATAAAAA